TCCACCTCGATTGCGGCACTATCATTGATTGCTTTGGCTACTTTGATGGGAATACCGAATCCATTGAATGCTATGCAGGTTAGCAAAAGTTTATTTTCTAATTTAATTAATTGTTTAATTACCTGCGATTTATTAGATTTTGTGGATTAACATTATAATGGATGGACCTCCGGCTCAGAGTTTGGGAGTTGAGCCCGTTGAAAAGGATGTGGTGCGCCAAAAACCAAGAAATACTAAAGAGCCCATGATCACGCGAAAACTAATTGGAAACGTCATGCTCTCTGCGGTTGTAATTATTGCCGGAACATTGTGGGTCTTCAAAAAGGAGGTAATTACACAATTCTTATTTGTTACTTGCAACATTCTAATCTAATATGCACAGATGAGTTCTGCGGGAATCACTCGACGAGACACGACGATGACCTTCACGTGTTTCGTGTTCTTTGACATGTGGAACGCCCTATCGTGCCGTTCGCAGACGAAGAGCATATTTTCCATCGGCCTATTCAGCAATCGAATGTTCCTAATTGCTGTTTCTCTATCGGTCATCGGTCAATTGCTGGTCGTTTATTTTCCACCGCTGCAAAAGGTTTTCCAAACTGAAGCGTTGACATGCGGAGGTAAGGACTAAAATTCAATTTCCCATCTAAAATCAATACGGCCTATATTTAGAAATACCATGTCATGGATAATAAGTCTTTGTTCTTGGAAATCTAATTTAATGTTTTTATTTTCTTTTACCTCGACCTATAAGCCGTAAATAAATTTAAAATCAAATAAAAAAAGTTCACAACATATTATATACTAGCTTAGTGTTAGCTTGTTTACACGATAAGATCAAAGGAATAACAAAATAATGAGTATAACGTTTCAATAGAATAATTGAACTTAGGTTTATTTAAAACTAAGTGGTTCAATTTTTCGCTATTCGTTATATTTATGAAGAACTTGTTTTTATATATTTATGTATTGCAGATATGCTTTTCTTGGTAACATTAACATCGTCGGTCTGGATTATAAGTGAACTGAAGAAACTGTTGGAGAGGATGATGGAACAACGCGGAAAGGGTAAACGATCGCCATTGGAGTACGTATGACGGCGGAGGGGGCCTGGGGCAAAAACCCGACGCGATTAGGTCAAATCTAACCTCTGTTCCTCGCCCCTCCGTAGCTGTGGCCCCCCTAGAATGTGCATCATAAAACAAATTGATTGATCTGATATAAAAAGAAGAAAAGCGAAAGATTTAATTTTCTTTATTTTTTTTTATTTTATAATTTTTTATATATATATAATTTCTTGCACATTTCCATCTGGTTACGCTACTTGGCAGCTACTTTTAAATTAATTTATTTAGTACATTTAGAACTCAGGCATTCGATTTATTTATTTCCGGTGAATTATTTTTTTATATACTTGGAATGAATGAAGAGCTACAACAACAGCAAACATAGGTGTTTTTTTGTTTGTTTTTTTAAGTTATGCACAACGAATTTGTTCAGTATTGTCCTTCAGTTTATTATATATAATTTGTCATTTTAAATTCGTTTTTTAATTGATTATAGGGATGTGTGATTAATTGAGTTTGAATCAATTTGGTTGTGAACAAGGATCGAGCGGTTTCATTATACTTATATTTTATTGTATAAGGGAACAATTTGCAATACACTTTTCCTTTCGTTGTCATTCGGCTTAATATCCTTTATGCGTTAAGTGTAATTAAATGTAATTTTAAAAGGTATACATTATATATAAATATAAGAAAATGTACTCCATTGTTAGAAATATATATAAAGATATATTATTGGAAACTTATTGGATAATGATAAATAGATTTTTTTTAGATGAGTGTTTTAACTAAAATATTATATAACCCACCAGTGAAGGATTATTATTTAAAAAGAGAGAATGTATTTAATACATAGTTCTGTGATACACTTTAACTGTAAAACTTGTATAACTTTTGCACTTGCATAGAGCTTTTCCATAGAACTTTGCAACTTTCCTTAATTGCACGCAAATTTATATTGGATTTCAAGTTCACTATCTTAGGAAGAAGCTTTATTTATGGATGTTGGAATTACAATATATGTATCGATAATTAACACAGAATATATATAACGATTATAATCAAATTATTTAAGAACTAAATTTAATCTTATCAATCTGTCTATTTGCCTGTTATTAAATTTTTAAAATATACAAGGTAAACTATAAAAATAATATTGTTAAATCGTGAAGAAACCAAGTTTTGTGAATATATAAATATTGTTTCACTATCAACCTTTAAATTTGTATATGTATAAACTGAATTTACTTTAGACGTTTTTAATAAACATATGTGCATTTCTTAAAATAAATTTAAAACAAACTATATGTTAATAAAACTATAAGATTTTAAAACAACACAAGTTTTTTTCTTTATTTAACAATTTTTATTATCCAATTTAGAACTATCCGTTAATGTCTATTATTTACACTTATCTTCCTTCCTTTCTTGCTATAAAGTGCAGATACTTGATAAAGCACCCGTGTCCGGAAAGCGCTTGGCTTATATGTTGTTTTCTGGATATCCGGAGTTCTATTTTTGGGATTAAGCGTCTAGTCCAGGATCCCTTCTCTGAATTATCCCATTTTTCCTGCCACTTTTCCAGCAGTCTAGCCTTGGAAGTTTCCTTGCTCACTCCTCTCTCTCTCTCTGGCTAAGAGTTCGATTGGTGGCATGTCAGTAATTATTTGAACTGCATCTCAGGAGAAAGTGCTGCAGACCCTTATTGCTCCCCTACGTTGGACTGTACCTTCATCGCTTCTTTCCATACTGGAGCAGCGTACAACATTATAGAATGCGCATTTGTTATATAGCAAAAATGTAAATAATTTTATATAAAAAAAAAATACTTATATGGAAATAATTAATTCATAGAAATATTAATTTTACATCTTTCATGATATATAATAAATAATATAATTAATACAAAAATAACATTATCTACAAAAGTTTTCATGTAGTGTTTGGTACAACTTTTTGGCTTTCCTTGAACCAAATCCTGGGCATTCCGATAGTTGATACTCCGAAGCTTGCAGAATTCCTTTTAACGTTTTGAATTTGGAAATCAATGTAATGGCATCCGTTTTGTTCACCGGTTTGATTGACGTTAAAGCTTGAACTAACTGAAATATAAAATTTCATTTATAATCATATTTTTTTTACATGTTCCATAAGAACAAATTTAATTTTGTTCAATAAATTAAATACAGCAATACCTCGCATAGTACGGCTTTGAACAGTACGAATTCACTGTAATACGTTTCTAAATTTTAAGAGAGCAAAATAAAAATAAATTCTAAAAAAATATATATTGAAGTCTCTTTTTGTACGGTTTCAAACAGTGCGGGAACTGAATTAACCGGACTATGCGAGGTATTGCTGTATAGTAATATAATATTTAGTAATACTTTGAGATGAGGAGATGATTCACTTTTCTCCATAATCTTATCTGCTGGTTTTGTTTCATAAATCTTATAGGTTTCCAAGATTTTACCAGCTTCCTCTGGGCTCCAAGCCAATATTAAAGTCATATCTGCCAAAATGCATATTCTGGTCAGATTCTTTAAACAGTGATGAGGATCATTAATGTCTACCTAAAACTTAAGCATGTTACTTGTATATTAAACAACATAGATCAACTGAATACTTGAACTAAAAGTACTCTCAACTGGTACATTTTCTTTAGCAATTTCAATCTTTCATGTATGTAATCTGGATTCAGGTTGTGATATCTCAGTGATAGAAACAATGCACAAGTAGTTTGTCCCATCTGGTAATCAGGTACAATTTCATCATACTCCCATGGTACATTTGTAATAAATTTCAATATAGGATTACCCTTTTGCTTTGGGTTAACTGATAAACAGTGGGTTTTTCTTGACACTCTAGAAGGACCAGGTTTCTGTGGTTCCTCTTTTGTTTCTGGTATTATTGATTTATCTTCTACTATATTAGCAGTAAATTCCTTTTCAAATTCCGCTGCTATATCTTCCAATGAATCATCCATTGTATTCAGATATCAAGTTAGTATCACAATTGATATTTGTAAATAGTTGCAATAGGTTAAGTACTTTGCATAAGAAAATTTGGTTGCATATTCTATTAAAGAAGGTGAGAGCCTGAGATTTAAACAAATTTACACTCTACAAAAGACTATAAATTAGACAATGAGGTCATTCTCACACTTTAAATATTATTGCAATCACTTTTCAGTAATATATATATATATATATATATATGAATGTATAGGAAAAAAATAAGGAATTAAAATATATGATAAATATATTATATAAATAATTTAAAAATACAAACTAAAATTGATTATGGCACGTTTGGCAAGATAATAATTTTGGTAACTTATCTTTATAAATAACTAAGACTACAATGTTCATTTAAAAAAATATTTGGCAGAAATTTGGTTTCGTTAAAAAATGGCACAATATAATGTGCGCTTGTTTAAAATTGTGTCAGACGCTTGCTTCAAGCATCTTATAAGAAGTTTATCCATATTCTGATTGGATGGACAAACTGAATTCTCCAGGAGTGATTGTAGTTCCATGGTACCAAACTCTTGTATCTACTAGAACTGGAAAAAAATCAAGACTTTTACAACGTTTATTCCATTTTTGTGTTAATTGCGTGTATTCACCAGCATCTCCTGGATAAACTTTGAAGGTAACTGGTGAACAGAATTGCTCACACTCATTGGATGGCAATAAATTCCAAGTCTTTGAGCCTTTCAATTGAGCTTGCCACATTAAACGGTTAATAAAATCAAGCTGTAAATAGTATTATTGTAACAAGTATATTGTGGGTGGTTTAAGTAATTAACTTACATGCATTGTTGCTCCAGCATCATATCCCATGAACACATATTCTTTGGAAGGTATTTCACAGTCATCAGGTAGAAAATGAGGTTTTGGATAGTGCTTTCGCATTTCTTTTAAAACTTGTGAATGACAATTACCCCTGTAATTAGATATAATAAGTAAGTTTGTTTATTAAAATTAGAATAACACTTACCAGCCAACATACCAGGAGTTTTGTCCAGGTTTATTGTTAATTCTATCTTTGGTCATATCAAACACATCTTTGAGTGAAATAAAATTAGATTTGAAATGTAAGAATTGACATTCTTCATCAACACTTTGAATGGAGTCATCAATACTTTCATACAGCTCTTTAAAGAAATAAAAATTAAATAGTTCATAAGCCGGCCAATGCAGAAAAGCCTTTCTGATTATGATAGGCTTTGATGTGTATGCATATGGAGCAAATTCTTCACGGCTTGCATTGTGTAAAATTATTGGTGCTGTTACATTAAGGCAAAAACCACAATCAGAGATAGGTCTGGTTGCTTCCCACACAAAATAGTTGTTGGGAATCAAACATCTTATTCCAATTAGAGAGATTATAAGATTATCAAAAATATTACAAGCACACAGTGCAGTAAATAGTAAAATTACGGACGCGCCAATGTAAAGGAAACTCCATTGGGAATCCTTCTTCCTGATTTGTTGAGTAGAACTCTTCAACTTATTCACAGTCACCCCATTTTTCGTCAACACTTTATTAAGATTATCGAAATCTTGCCTCAATTTTATTTCGACCTCGCATTTTCTCGTTCTTCTCATGATTCTGTTTACATCTTAACGATCTTAACCAATCTTGACGAAACAATATATCCCCCTTCCTGCTTATTCAAATGTCATCCTGACAGCTCTGATTGATGTTTTCCATATGTCACATATCAAATTTCAAAATTTTGAACCAATCACAGACACTCATTTTTTTTAAATTCGAGAATCAAATATATTCGCATTATTGAATTTAATGTTTTCCTGAGTATTTAGCAAAGAAAAATTATTTAGAAATTTAATTTAACTTGAAAATAATGGCCAATTCTTAGTTGCAAATACTGCAACGTGAAGTTAACTGCACATATGATCGGTGTCTGATATTCAAGATGGAGCCTGTAGGTAAGTCAAATATATCTTAAATCACTTTTATTTTCCTAAACTTTCAATGAAAATCGTTTTTCTTACCGAGAAAAAGTAATTAAACATATTTGTGAACATTCGAAATAACCGAATCTCGTTTTCGGAACGACTGTCAAAGGCTTTTATTCGTGCAAGTCATTTTTAACCTATGTCATATTTATCTCATTCCCTTTATTTTGTGATAATAAATATCTAATTGTATGTTGCTTGAATTGAAGGAGCAGCTAAACCTATCGAATGCCAAATTACAGGAATGGATGCTACAACCACATTGGAAACTGTCTCCTCCTTGGAACAGAACTGTGTTACTGAAGAAAAAGTGGACAAACCATCTGATTGTAAAATACCCAAAACAGAGTCTGGTGACTGTGAAAACAAGGCTGAAACACCTAGTGAAGTAATAGAAGTAAAAGTAGTGTATAATAAGAATAAATATAATGTTAATGCCCCCTCAAATACAACTATTGCAGACTTCAAAAAGCAATTGCAAGGATTAGTTGGTAAATATATTGATCTTTTTGCTTTTTTTCTTAATCAAAACTATATTTTTCAATGATCATTCTTTCTTTTAGGTGTACCAGTCTCAATGCAAAAATTAATGTATAAAGGACTTTTGCAAGACAACCAGACATTGATTAGTTCTGGCATAACTAAAGGAGCCAAAATTATGTTGGTTGGTTCAACCCTGAATGATGTTTTAGCTGTTTCTTATGTTACCAAACAAGTAATTATTATAATAACAACTTGCTTGTAAAGTTGTTAATCCTCAAATTATTTTTCTGCAGGATGTTGCTGAAGCTGAAAAGGCAGCCTCTACTAAAGAACCACTAAGCAAGCAGAAAATCCACCGTAAAGTTTTGGACAAGGGCATTCCAGATGATGTAATGCCAGGCATTAAAAGTAAAAATGTAAATATCAGCCTACAATTTGCATTTATCGGGTTTTAATTGATTCTGTAATTGTTTTCAGGAAAGTTTACCGCCAGTGCCATTGTCTGGTATGCTCAACAAACACAGCGGCAAAGTTCGTTTGACTTTCAAACTGGAAGCTGATCAGCTTTGGCTCAGCACAAAGGAACGAACGGAGAAACTACCTATGGGTTCCATCAAAAACATCGTTTCTGAACCCATTGAGGGACACGAGGAATATCACGTAATGGTATGTATATAATAAGCACGAAACGGCCGACAAATATCTTAACATTTCAACTATTCAGGGATTACAATTAGGTCCCACCGAAGCATCACGGTATTGGATTTACTGGGTCCCGGCCCAATACATAGAAGCTATCAAGAACGCAGTTCTGGGTCAATGGCAGTTGTTTTAAAGCGTCACACTAATTTCTCATGTGCATCAAAAATTGAAAACCAAAACCATTATTGGAAAAAAAAATTATTTAGATATATACGTCAACCGAAATTGAATCTTTCACAGAGAATTTTATTTAATATATAATATAACTATTATTAATATTATTACTTTTATTATTGATATTGTGATAAATGTGTTTGGTATTTACTGGCGCAAAAGTGAGTTTTTCGGAAACTACAAAAATCCTCATTGTTTCTTCTTATACTTGTTTTTTGTATAAATAAATAAGTTGTGATTCTTTATGACTAGTGAAATTGACACGTCGTACAATACGTGCATTTAATGTCAATTTTACGCTCAACAATTCTTGCATTATTTGATATAAAAAGAAGCCTATTTGAAATATATATAAAAAAACGTTTTATTTTTAGTTGTAATAACGAAATATTCTCAGTAAAGAAATATGAATCATTTTATTTATAAACTTTATAATATACGGAACAACAAAATATATAAATTTGTATTTAATATTTAGAATTTAGCATTGGTTTACTGCTCTGCACCTCACCGTTCCTTCAAAAAAAAAAACAAAATACAGCCTTTAAATTATTGGAAGAGTTGTTATATTTACTTGTAATAGTTTAAAATGCGACTCGCTTCCCTAAAACCTGTCTCCACAGCTCCATGAACACTGGAAAAATACTTTGGATGCGTTGCTTCACCTGCGAATTGGATCAACGGTTTATTGTTGGCACCTACCAATGGTTCGATTAATTTGGAAGATGTGGTTAATCGTTCTTGGTTATCGACGCTCTTGAAAGAGTACGAACCGCGGAAGTGATTATTGCTGAACCATCTGGAACTAAATATAACGTAATATTATGTAACTGCACGCTGAAAAGTTAATTACCAGATGAAATTTGAAGCACTTGGAATTTCGTAGAATTTTCCTAAAAACTTCTCGAGTAAAAACATGCAACCTGATTCTATAATTTTATCATCCAACATTTCCACTTCTCGCGCGAATTCGCCGACCATCCAACATAATAGAGTAGTTGAATCACTGTCTATTACAAAGAAACCACTAATATCTTCAAGCCAAGATTTACCATTCTAAAAGTATATTGTAAAATTAATACAGTCATAAAAAACTTGGTAAATCCACCTTTTTGGGTCCTTGTGGGAATTGATTTAAAATATTCATTTTATCATCCTCAGTCCATAGGAAGCAAAAAGACGTGTCCTCGTCTTTCCACCATTTATGCGGAAACTTTATTAAAATTTTATTAACTGTACCAAAGCCTTGACCATCAATAGCAAGTGCTTTGTAGAAAGGCAATTGTGGCACAAAAAGCTTCAAATGTTGCTCCTTGAGAATTCCTGCTGATAATGTCACTATAACATGATCAGCTTTGAATGTTGAATCATTTGAACAGTTTATACTGATTTCATCAGAGTTCCAAATAATCTGTCTGACTTCCTTGTTCAAAATGGTTTTCTCTTCTAATTCTTTTGCATATTTCCCCTTAAACATATTTCCTATAAAATAACAGTTAAAAACAAAGCAGAATATTTACCATTAAGATATCCAGAAAACTTCTGTATCCTTTATCCTTCCAATTCAACAATGGGTCTCCATTGCAATCTTCATACTGCACTAAACCTGCAGCAGACATATCAAACCAACTTGCTGGAGCATCATAGCATAAAATCATTTTATGAAACCAATGTACAAATTGATTAGCAATTTCTAGATTAACTCTATTTGTCCCAAACTCCTGCTTAGCTTCTTTTATGTAAGACCTTATGAAATAATCACCAAATGACTCTTTGGTATTTTTCATGCTATCAAAGTCACAAGTGATTCTGGAAGCAATGCCATGCAACATGTCTGTAATTTCTACATTTACTAGATTGGAAGTAGAGTTATAAAATTGATTGTTCAAGTAAGTGCATTTGGAAGTTTCAAGTAAATTCAAATGTTTAACCATATCATAGACTACATTGTTTTCCTCCCCATGACACCACTGAGCCCCCAAATCAATAATGCTTTCCCCAAATTTTGTGCTATTTATTCTACCCCCAATTCTATTTTCAGCCTCCAAAATTATCAAGTTCTTAAAACCATACTCTAGTAGTTTCCTGCCTGCAGCAATACCAGAAGCACCAGCTCCAATTATTACAATTCTTGAATCATTTACCATGGTTAAAAACAGTGCACTAATTGTCACCAAACAGGACTTTGTATTTTGGAATATTTATTTATAATTTACAAGGTTAAGGACACGTCATTATTGGTAAACAAATAGCACGTGCTTCGATAATTTAGAAAATTTGTTTACTAATGCTAATAGACTTAAGATTTTGATAGGATTATTTTTTGTTTAAACTAGTTTTCCATAAATAATTAATTGCAATTAGACTAATTTAAATTTTACTTTTCATTGGAACGCTAGATGGAAACGGTATCGAGCAAACTATTATTTTCATACTTTTTTGCAACCATTGATTGGTACATAGTTATTTTTTAACATACTAGTTTATAGTAGTTTGAAATTTAATTTCTGTGGATTATATGATTTTGAAAAAAATGAGAACAAAATTGTCATGGTGTGACGTTTTGTTGTCAAGTGTTTATAACCTGTGAAATTAAGATCAATAATCATGACTGACATTACTTTTAGTTCTAAAGCTTATTGCAAAATAATTTTGCATGCGGCTAAATATCCGTACGCAGCAGTGAACGGAGTGCTCCTAGCAAAAACCCCAGTGAAAGGGAAGGAAATTGAGTTCGTCGATGCAGTGCCTTTATTTCATATTGCCCTTAACCTCACTCCTATGGCTGAAATCGCCTTAACTCAAGTAATTAATAGCATTCCATTCATGCAGTATATACCTACTAATCATTTCCTTCCTGCAGATTGACCAAGTAGCTTCACAAGCAGGACTTACAATTGCTGGATACTATACTGCTCATGAGAACCTATGGGATTGCTCATTTGAAAGGGCCCAGCATCGGATTGCAGATAAAATTGCTGAGAATTGTCCAAATGCCTGTTTGGTTGTTGTAAGTATAAAATATATAAATCATTATTTTATAAAATTTATTCATTTATTTATTTTACAGATTGACAATTCCAAATTGAGTATGCAATTAGATAATTTAGCAATTAGAGTAGCCCAATTCAGTGATGGCAAATACAGGGAAGTGAATATTCAGAAGGTCAGTTTGAATACAGATGAGACATTGGACATTTGCTCAGCACTGATAGAGAGCAGGGACTTTGAGGAGCTGGTGGATTTTGATAACCATCTGGATGATGTGTCAAAGGACTGGATGAATGATAGTTTGAATAAGAAAATCGAAATGTTCAATAATTAATTTATACCAATTTTATATAAATATTTTGCATTTCGAGGTTTAATTTATATATATTATATAAGTAGATTTACAATATATTTGTTTGATAGCGTAATAAAAAAAAAATACATTCGTACCATTTTAATAAGCTAGATCTTTATTAATTTTTTCATCATAATATATTTATGTATAAATCAAATGCCACTCAAATAAGGCCACTTCTAAATCCTAACAACTTGTGCAACATCTTCCACACCAGGAAAATTTTATATATAATAAATATATTTATATATTGAACTTATCAAACAGGTACATTTTCTTTAACAATAAAACTGTCTAACAAGCTATAACTGTTATTTTCTTTAAACTGTAGTTTAAAATGCGTTTATTTCATAAACTATATATTTAATATTTAATACTTGCTATATCTGCAATATATATATATTTATATAAAACATCTTCATTCAAAATTACTTCGCTTTCTTCTCTGTTAATTACATTATGTACACGTATGTAGCCACAACATCAAAATCATCGTTGTTCTCTTCTCTAAAATAAAAAAATGATTGCTTCTGTTTATTAGTAGACGGCGCTAAACGAACAGGAGAATGAAACAATATAAATATTCTCTGAGCATGTTGGTCCATCCCTTTCCAGAAAGTAAAGGAATCGAACTGAATCATCATCATCGGTGATTAATTACATAACATCGGTAACAAGTGTACTTTCTTTCCAACAACTTCATCATCCGTTACTGGCTTTTAAGCATGAATTTTCGAGGCAGCATTTTAATGTTACTTTGCACCAAGTCCGATCGTTCGTCTGTGAAAACGTGAAACTTTCACAATAATTACAAAAATATAAATTTCACGTTTTCATACGATCGTCAAACTCGAGTGCTTTGATCACAAGTAATTTTAACAATTTGAATTTTGCATTTTAAAACTTTACCTTACAATTAAATAATGTTGAAAGTGTTGTAAATAAGGCTAAAAATCTTCCTAAAACCTAATTTAGTCCAACCATTTCATTTCGAAAATAGGGCTTTTCTTAAAATCCGCTTTAAAATTCGCATTTCCAACAAAATATGTGTTTAAAACTTTATAACTATCAATGTTTTATCACTAGCATTATCATCATTGAATAAATATAATTAACAATAAGTGAAATCGTTCGTGAGTGAATGTTTGCATCAAGGAAACCGAAAATAAAGTTCACTTGTTACATAACTAGACTTAATAAATAGAATATCATCACTAAATTATTTGATTGTACTTAAATGAGCACAGATTATTATGAATATGTAATATAATATATTTATTTTATTCTCTTTGGATATGCTTGGATATGAACGAAATGTATGCTTCGACCTCGTTGACCTATTTGCAATTGCGAGGCGCTGTTTCAACCGCTGCTTTCCGTTTTCTTCAAATGTTCATTAGGCGCTAAAAGAAAACCCGAACGAAACTTATAATTAATATCAACCGTTTTGAGCTATTAGGAACCATTCTAAAAGATTGCTTTTCACAACTATTCAAATCGAAATAATAGTTTTTTTTATTAAATTTTGTAAAGGCTCCAAAAATTATCGATTTCTTAGTTTTTTCTTCCTTTTATAAATACTAAAAATTAATTATTGCTTAAGTTTCGGGACGTAAATGGAAATGGACTCTAAAAAAACGAAATAGTCTTCGCCGAAAAAGCAGCACTCTTAAATCTCGTATTAACATTTCTTGCATTTGTTCAAATTTTTGTGCAAAATATATTACGTTCTTTTTGTTTACTTCCTTAAAAACGGTGGAGGGACTTTTTGTTTTTTTTTCTTCTTGTAAGCGATTGGCAGCGTTACAACAATGTAATGGTTTATTCTTCGCTGAGGATGTATCCGAGTGGCCAAGGCTATGTTCCAGTAACTTCCTTCAACGGGACGTGCCTGGTGACTGTTCTTCTTTTGATTGGTGATACAGGCGGACTTGGATGGGGTGTTGCTGGAGCGGTTAAATTTCCACTGGTTAGATCCACTCTGGATGTGGATCGGGACGGAGGGGCAGAACCTACGAAAAATATCATTATTACTTTAATTTCATTTTATGTATAAAAAACAACATTAAAAAGTTATAGATTAACTGTGTAATGTTGTACGTTCGGATGAACATCGAGTATGTTCCTGCGAACGAACATATAGATAAGCATCTAGATAAATAGGAATTTACCACTTAGCGTAATATGTGTAACAATATCTTAGATAGTCCTTTAATATTCTGAGTAAAATGTAAAACTACATACCAAATCTAGAATATTCTGCACAGCCATTTACTATAAATTACTCTTAATTTATATGTATTGTATAATATTTATTCATTTGAATAATTATTTCTTATCTTTATTGAACAATATGAACTTTAGAGTAAGAATCGTATGGCATATTGTTGTTATCTTATTTAATAATTGAAATATCATATGTTGTATGCAAATATTTTAATTCTGACCTTTAATTCCAAGAAATTGTTGTGAATAATTACAAGAAAATGTGCTGTGATATTGATCATATCATAAATTTATTATGCACGCATTTTTTCCCGACAAATGAGAAATTCAATTACACATGTATATTGCAGATATGCCATATTTCCAAGTTTGATTTAATAATTTACTTATAAGGAAGATCAGAGATTTTTCTAGCAAATAAATAAGAAATCTCTATTCAAATTAATAACTTCATAATTAAACTACACTGAATAATTTTTCTCTCAAAATTACTATTTACATTGAATTTATACTAGAAAATATACAAATTTGATTGTTATTTTTATCTATATAATCTAAATTAATTTTAAATAATATGTTATTTGCAATCAAATTAGACAGAAATTTTTAATCTAAAATATTTTTTATAAATGGAAAAATAAAAGTAATAATGTTGAAATTGTTAAATTTAATATAATAGTTTATAAAATATAGTATTAATTACTTTTTGGAGATATTCGAATAATACTTATACTTCTTTAAACTATATTCTAGCTATTGATTGGTTTAGTTAAAGCAATTGCATTTTTTATAATTATTATAATATTGTTTGGTATATAACATAATGTGGGCAAATGCGGCTCTAAGTTGAATTAAGTGTGACTCTCATTGATATTATGCATGCCCATCCCTGGTATATATGATTATTTAATATTCATTTGATTGTTATATTTGAGTCATTGACTTTGATACTAAGAAGCTGAACTTAACAATTAGAAGAAATTGTATTGTAGATGCTTTGATATTGATCGCGATATAAAAACTGGTCTACACGCAAATCATTTATTGCACGTTATGTTAGAAATACTTAGAATAAAAACGATCTGGGTGACCTAATATTCGTTACAACTCAAAGTTAGGTAATTTAGCATAGTCGAAAGAGAACATTTTACTAAAAGCAAGTTTGAACCTTGTGTTTTGTTCCATTAGGCGATTAACGATGATGCCCCCCATCTGAACATGAATAAAGCGCATGCAAAAGTTGATACTGGCAATTGAATACCATCAGTGGACTATAACAGACGTAAAATTAAATATGCTTTCATTACCGGTGTAGGTGTGTAAACCGGCAGGACCTGATCTCGGTCTCAAGCTCGTCACGCTCGGACTCCTCGAGACACTCGAGGTCCTCGCATCCGTTTGAGATCTGCTACTTCTACGCCGTGACCTTCTGGTTTCTGAAGTCCTGCAGACACCCGTGGGACACTGCTGTCCCATGACGCATCTACCATCGCAGATTGTACGGGAGAGCAATAGCTGCTCGTAATTATTTAGCATAAGGGCGCACTGCTCCTCGTCGAGGGTCACCAATGCCAAACTGGGGAATCGCTCCTTCAGCCGTCTGCGTTCCTGCAAACAATACACTTAACGTTAATGGATGCACCCTGAACAATCCAATCAATATTAATGTAAATCTCCTAGTTAAGCATCTAAAGATTTCATGATTTACTGCTGAAAACCATCGTTATTTTCATTGCGACCGTTGGGAACTATCGAAATAACGAGAGTTGAATTGTATACAGTAATTTTAGGTAGGTAGGGTCGGTCAACCTGATTGAGGTTGGGCTAGTTATCTTCTTGCCAAATATTATTGCACGCACGAAACCATTTATGTTCAGACATGCGATATTTCATGCGTGCTGTATTACTTATTAATGGCGTAATCCCAGATTTATATTCTTTCGCGTTTACAAGCACAATGAACCTACTTTTGGAGACCATTTTGAATCAGAACTATGTAGAACAACATATACATCTCATTAAATATGCTGCACCGGAAAAAGGGATACCCGGCCTTCATTTTAATACATTAACATTTATGAAAGTATTATGACATAAGTAACATGTAACGTTAATTAAATTACCACACGATTTGTCCCAGAATAAAAAAATATATTGTATTTTTTATGCGAAAAAAACGACTAAATGATAAATTTACATATTCTAATTAAATAATTATTATATAAAACTATTTAGAATGATATTACAAGAATCATAAAATTTATAAAAATGTATACACATTTTTTTGTAAGGTGGCTAGAATCGTTGCATCAAAAATCGGGACATGACTCGGATTTTTCATTAGATTCTGTGAAACTAGACATTATGTCTCTCTTATTATATGTTTCAGGAAAACCGAGACATTAATCAAAAATAGAGACAAGTCTCGAAAAATCAGGACGTATGGTTACATTAGTCGGGTCGTTACATACAATTATTGCCAGGGCGACTGTTAATAATTAACGTACTCGTATATAATTGTAAATAACTTAAGGTAAGCATTTAGTATTTTATGAAGTTGTGTGGAATTAAGACTTGTTGTTATTCGCTTATATTTATATAAGTTTTGACTTGGCAAAAGCTATTGGTTACTCAGCCAAGTACTTGTTGCTAGATATATTTGGGAATATAGTAAAAATTTCATGATACTGTTTGTATTTATTTCCCTTTTATATATATTCTTTACAGATCAAAGATTTACTTAATTGTTATCTTTATTATACTATTTAATATATGTAATTCGAAGGTTAAATAACAAATCTTTTATAACAAAGATAACTTATTGTTCGTATTACTTATTTTTAATAACATTATATAATATATATATATATTGAGTTAAATTACCTTTTTTCCTTCAGTAATGATCGTCAACCCCGAACCCATTACTATTGTGACTTCAAACGTCCATTGTACTATGCAGACTGATTGTACACACATGACCCATAAGTTCTCTTTCTTCCAAAGAGTCCAGTCTATTATTATTTTTTTACAAGCTTGAAGACGTTATTAGATCTATATTTCTGTCCTCGAGATTTCACATCTTTCAAGATTATTATTTTTCTGTTTTTTTTTTGGAAAATATTAGGGTAAATATTGAGGTAACTGCGTAAATTGATTCTTAGAAGTATTTGTTCCAATCTAGAACTTCTTATTGGCTCATTTCCAAAATTGGAATTGATTCGTTTTATTCTTAGTATGATATATTTTAGCTCATATACAGCATGTACACCTTATATAGGTTTAAGTTCTTTACAATACAGTTGTTCCAGTATCATATTAACTATAATGAAGACATATAAGAAAATAATAATTATTATATTTAATTATTTTACAATTAAATATAAAAGACCATAGTGTTTCAGTCCAAGAAATACAATTTATCTAATTAATAGATTTTACTCAATAAAATTGAATACTAGTTTAGATCATAAAAGGTTAAGAAATGGTTCAACTAGCTTGTATTAAATGCGCATTTTGTGACTATGAACTTTGAGGATAATCTATTTTGAGATTAGACATGCAAATTTGATTTCATAATAAATATTATTATATAACATAGGTTGGCATCTATCAGAAAGTTGCCGTTCGACAGATTACGAAAGTTAAACTATTCTGCTTATTGTCATAAATAGAATATTTCTATAATAGAAAAACTGAATTAGGAAGAATATGTTGTTTTCCGCCTAATATCTTAGTGTATACAATTGTACAATTAATATTAATACTATTTTCAATCTGAAGTTTATTGGAAACTATAAGTACGAACTTGTTGGGTGTGGTACAATGCAATATGGCTTAGTTGTGCGAACATCCCAAGTTTATATGCACTTAGTTATTCAGTGCATCAGACTGTTTGGAAACTTCGACAAATTTGATTGGAATTTGAATGTGTACATCGAACTTCTGATTTAGTTTTATTAGTATAATACGAATACAATTTACAAAATGTATTGATCGTTGAAAGATCGCCTGTGAAGAATAAATGTCAACAATTTTCAAATGTGTTTTACCATGTAATTTGATTATTTAATATGTACAGAAATACTTATATGGTATCTATAATCTAGGATATATCTCACAATCATTTAACTAAACACGCAAGTATTTAAAACTATAACCTCGTTAACTTGTATATATAATTAAAGTAAATACACAAATGATTTTTTTAATAATTTCTTGTAAACAATATTATATTTCTCTGAGATTTATTTAAATTTTGTTAAGTTACAAATAATGTATTAATTTTTTCGAAGTTACAAGTCACAATTATAGTCAAATAAATTACGATTTTACCTTTTTTATCAATAATTTTAGAATTTTCAATTAACAATGATTTTATAAGTTTGACCTAGTTTGATTTCCTTCTTATTAAATAGTTTTACTTGTACTTTTTTTTATGTAAAATATAAATATTATACAATTATTTATGGTCCCTATTTATTACAACGTATTGCAATCTAAAATTACACTCATAAATATTGGCTAGAAGATTTATTTAGGTCGATAAAGAAGAAAGCAATATTAATAATAAATCAATATAAACGTTTGTAATTTAATGTATTTTTTTATAGCAAACAGCCTTTATGTATCTCCCCTTTGTGAACGTAAAAAAATGTATATGATGAAAGGCATAATAAAAGGAAGCAAACGCAAAGCCTCATTTCATTGCTAAGGAAGTAAAAGTTGTAATTTGAATAAGTTGTTGTTATATACGTTAGTAAAATATATGTAATTGATGTAATAAAAGCTGTTCATCCTCGTGAACGGAGGAAAAAAGTTGAGCAAGAATTTGTGAAATAATTCTAAGCACGTTTCTTCATACCCATTTTCCACATCTTTGTCCTCTGTCTGCGCCATATATACGTTTTAGAAGACACCTCCGACTGTCTTAGACAATCTAATTAACGTTACAACGCGCCGGGATTTCAGTCACATCCTATTAATTCTCAATTTACCAGCTTAACATTTACCATTAACGTTTTTACTTGGCTTCCGCCTGAACACCATTAATACCAATTTCCAAAATTCGCACCCTACCCTTGACCTCCTTCATAATATAGGACATGTATATTATGGACAATTATTCGATATTGATTATGTTTCTTTAGCGATTCAATTGAAAATTTATTTTTTTTTTGTGTAATCGGCGATCTCTGCTGTCAGCTAAGGTGATTTATGAGTATCATTCAAACACGTGCGAAGCACAATTTGCGTAAATGGTTGATTAAAAACGTGAGTATACGAAAACTGATTCTTCCATTCATTATTGCTATGTTGTTCATTTGGCTGTGTTTGCGTGTTGTAGACATTCTCATTTATATCGTTACGGCTACGAACGAATAACTCTGAATGAACTTTTAATCGAATCGTATTAATTTAATGCGAGCCGAGCTGACTGGAAATTAATTAACTTCATCATACGAATGCCGTAAATTCTAACACATCAAAGAAAACTATAAAATCATAAACATGTTCAGTGTTGCGCTGCTTTTGAACAAAAAATATCTTAAAATGTATAAAGTTTTTCATTTAAATTAATTAGAAAATTTAATAATTATTTATATATAAGAAAAATGTACTTCAAAAACTACATTTACATATTTTTTACACGATTTTTGTAATTGAATTTTATATTTCACATTAATCATTGAATTCGTAATTATAAACATCTCATTTGTAAATAGTTTAATTATATAACAAATTATACTATTAATTTTGTAGCGCTTTATTTTATAATAGTGAACTTGTTTTTTTTAAATTTTAGTAAGAGAATTAGTTCACTAATTAAAGTAATTAATTAAGTTTTATTAAACTATTGCAGATTCTTAAGATAATTTTCTTAATTATTTTTTTTTAAACTTCAATTCTATTCTACTTCAGTTTTAGACTTGAATTTTTCGATGATTCTAAAATAATATGTTTTCTATAAAAGAATTTGTTATGTTTCGAAAAAAAATAATAAAAATCAATTTATTATTAAAGCATTGAAACCAAACAAATTGGATTGGAATTCGTTGAATAAATAGTAACTCCGTTAATAATTGAAGCTTGGAAACGAAATAAACTGGTTATTAAAATATCCGCAATATTTGATGCACATATGTTATTTTTTATTTTCAATTAAACGAAATACAAACGCGAGAATTTCGAGTACGAACAAATATGTGAAATTTCATATAAAATCGATGCGAGCAAATAAAATTAAGCAAATGAGTAACTCGTAAACTGATTACTATTGTTTTACATTCTAGGGTCGTGGGTTCCTTTTTTTTTGTCAAAGCGAAATGAATTATAGATCGGAGTCGGAATTTAATTCAATTTTCTGCGGAACTGAACGGATGCGAAACTTTCAGTTTTACTTTTTGCTCTCTGTCGCCCGGTCGTCCCTCTTGCATAAGCAATTTTATCGCTAGAACTCGATTAAAGCCTTTACAAGATTATAATTTATGCTGAAAAAAAAACTAACTTATAATTCCTACCTCAAGCAGTTTAGAGTCTTCGAAATCCTGGAGTTGCTTCTGGAAACCGAGGTTGGGATTCGCTACAGCCCTGCCTGCTCTTACTACTTTCAGCGCCTCCTTCCACGAGAGATTCGTGCAAGTCATGATGTAGGCCACAGCCACAGTAACGCTCCTCGACATTCCGGCCAGACTGAAAAAAAGTTAGAAAAAAACAAATGGATTAGAATAAAGGAAATTTCCAAATGAGTATCACTCTCGCTTACCAATGGATTAAAACGTTCCCTTCCCTTAACCTGGCCGCATGGATGAAATCGTTACAGAGGGGAAAGTATTGCGTTAAATTTTGATCAGGAGAGTCCGAGGCCAGAACGCAAAGGTAGTGCTTATCCTGAAATAAAAGAAAGATAAGAGAGAGGCTGTTGAGATGTCCGTATGGGATAAAACCGGATTAGTTCCAGAAGTAAAACGGTCGTAACATTTGAAAACTTGCTAAATTATTCAGAGCGCCGGCTGGCTGCGGCCATAACAATGATGAAATGTTACCTTTTACTCTTTGTCACGACCTGTTAAAAAGGCTGTATCTCTGTGCGATGCCATAGATACGGTCAAATTGAATTGGTCTCTCCGAAGTTTCTGTTTTGATTCGATTCTGGCACAAGTCTATATTTAGAAACTTTACTTCTCCTTTTAACTATGTCTATTTTCAATCAACTAACACTTACGAGTAAAGTTTGTAAAATATAACAGAAAACTAAAATAAATATTTATTCTATAACTTTCTTTCCTTTCACATTTCATATAAAATTTTAAAATTTAATAAAAATATTAACTCTGAAAATATGAATTAAAACCTATGGTCAATAGTCCTTATTATTATCATAAAACAAGCCTATCACTTTCAAACATATATTACTGAATTGGATTAATGTTTAATTTATTGTAAACAATCGGACAATGAACATAATATGTTGATATAAAACGCAATTTGCAAGTTCATGTAAGATGTCTATAATTTTTCACAACTTTAATTGATGATTGATTATTCATTAAGATACACAGCCTTCTGTAAAAGTTTCATCATATGCTGCAATGTTTTTCCTGACTAAATAAATTTGATTCTGTATAGTGTTATCAGAATTATCTCGGGAGCCTGTGTATTAAAACTGGTAGAAAAAATCCTTGAAAGTTTGCTTGTTTCGTGATTAATAATTGCAATATATTTATATTAATTTGTTTATAAAATTGTAAATTCTTGCGGAAATTAATATGTGAATTTCTTCAACAATTAGTGGACTTGTATACGTTTATTAATTATTTCATTTTTTTTAATGGGACTTCAGTGGTTACTCGAAAGGAACTGTCTTGCTATTAATACAGTAGAAGTAGCTGCTTAATGCAGCATCTTTACTATTATGCATTTTATATAAAATCATAGATTATTTACCTAGTTTTGATATTCAACTAAATTTGAACTACGTATACTAATGTAAAATGTTTTATTTCAATATAAATTAAAATATAGAAATAAAAAAAATAATTTCATACACCTACAAAATAATACTTTATATATCGTTATAATAAAGATAGAAATTTAACGTGAAATTATACATCAATATTTAATATTTTCGAAAGTATTCGTTGTCGGAACTGTTGATTAATCTGTTCAAATAATACAATGGATACTAAAGGCAACTTGAAATCAATGTATTATTTAGCCTATCTGAGCTCATCTTGTAACTATTGTATATTAATACATATGTAATAAAAAATAATGTTAAAATAAAATTGAAAATAAAAATTTAAAATGAAACATTACATAGAAACGTCCCAATTTTATTTTGACAAATGACAGAAATGAAAGAAAAAAAAACTATTTCATTTTCAGAAGTGAAAAGTCGTGTATTAAAAATATTCTGAATGTTAAAAATTCATTACGTACGCATTAAAAGCGTCATTTTGAAATATTATATTTTGTGTGACAAACGCAGTACAATGCTCGTATTCAGCATAGTCAACGTCAAAAGCTTTTGTATCTAAAAAATGAAAATTGAAACAATAGTGTCTAGCGTTACAATGGACATTCATATTATTCCAAGAATATATACGTTCACTATTTTGTATGTAGATGACACAGAGAACGCTCGTAATTAAAAATATTTGTATCGATTCGACTATTAATAATAACATGTAACGCATGGACGTGTAACGCATCTAATATAAATCAACGCGTTGAATATTTCAAGTGTCAAGATATTATAATAACTGACAGTTACAATGATGATACGTTTATAATAAATAATAATACACAATACACGTACATTTATTTTAAGTACAGCAACAAGTGTATTTTATTAAAAAAAAAACATAATAATTCCTATGTTCCAAAATAAGTGTCAAATTTCATAATGAAATATGCATATATAACGTGTATTTTCACAACTAAACTATAGCATAAAATGGAAAATTAACACTTATAAGTAACATTTAGCAAATTAGTAACTATAAACGGTCAAGTTCCTGACGTGCTAACAATGTGAACGCAGTTTGTCCTTGGTCATGTGAGGAAGCTTGTAATCGTTGCCTCCTTTATGAAGGCATGGTTTAATTTAATATACTTCTGCAATATAATGAAAGCACTGTCTAGTTTTTTCTGCGGTTATTTCGTCCCATGGTTTATACACGTCCAGGATGAGTTCATCAATACTGGACGGGGACTCTTTGTGTTGTAATGATTGAATGGCGTTAAAGAAACCCAAATGTAGGACATTGAAATCAGGGTTGTATGGTGGTTGACAAATAATTCTTATGTTCCTCCCATTTTCAGAACCAGCGCGAACAACTTCTTCATCATCAATATTGCAATATGGCATTATCTTGCTGGATTTTGATTGGCAATTCTACCAAGTTCTAAAGTTCTACCAATAATAGGCCATTTTTCTTTTATCACGGGAATGAATTTCTCTGTAATTATTCGAATATAGACTTTTTGGGTAGTTTTTGCAAAAACGACCGTAATAATGAACCTTAAACAAATTGTCAGCGGGTAAAAAAACAAACTAACAATTATTACAAAATTTTACTATTTTCACAAATTTGAAACTTCAAGCGGCTACTAGAGGCACATTTTCCATGTTTAATTTAAAACTAAAATCGGACAATTATTTTGGTCAATAATAATACAATAATAAAAATTAAATTAAACTCCTGCAAAATCTTATTGACCATAGATGTTTCTATCCTGTTTTATTATTATTGTTAATTTTACTGATGCAATAAAGATTATTATCAATACCATTGCTGTTAGATTTTTTATTTGCAATTAATTTTTTTTTCTTTATCTTGCCTGTCGTGTGCAATACTCCTTTACACTAATGGATTATTTCTAATTATAAAAATATGAAGAAGAAGAAGTAGTAAAGCTTTATAGCTGCGAGACAATGTAAGAAAATTACATTAAGGCCGGAAGGACTTTTATTTCTTATTCTACTCGGCACTTATTACGAAGCCTCATAATTTTATGTTTGTTCATTCTTCCTGAGCTTGGCAACAGTATGCAAATAAGGTTTTATGTTTTCTCGTAGATTATGATAGGTTTCCTTCCATACCCAAAGTAAACGTTGATGAAGAGCGGCACAAGAAAGATAAAAAATTATGCTCTCACAGACTTGCAAATATTAAGATTTACCCAGAGACTATACAAATATAAACATAATAGACGTATTTGCTTTATTCTAAAATGTACATCTGTAATGAGATCTTATAATATAACTTTAAAATTATGTGTAAATGTTTGTACTTGTTGCGTATCCTTTTAAATGCTACTTATCTGAAATCAGCAAATGGTAAAAAAATCTTTCATTTTAATTAACTTTTGTAAATTATGATGACAAATAGTTCAATTAACTTATAATGTGATCGCGATCTACTTGATCTATTGAAATTAAGTGTTTTATCTCGTTTTACTAAAGTCAAATTTGAAATAATCATTTTTTTTCAAATCTTCGCGATGGACCGAAAAACTCTTCGGAATTGACTTTTTGACCTTAATTGACGTCTGCTTTAGTACATCGTTATTACTTACTTTTTGATGTGTATTAAGTATTTTCATATAAGTAAAATATTCTTTAAATAACTTTAATTTTCTTAATTTTCATCGATTAGTATTTACAGACAACTTAAATACAAAGCATATTTTAATACAATACATTTCATTGATACTCTTAACAAAATTAAGTGATAAAAACTATCAATATTATAAATGCACAAAAGAAATGATGATTTTAAAAGATTTATAGATATGAACGATGAAAAGTATGGAAGAAATTTAACTTGGCTCTAAAATCTGATTAAGTTGTGGAAATAACAAACAATTTTGGATATTGACATTAAAAATGATATTCGAAATCAGAATACAGTAATTGATGATAAACCGTGAAAACCGAGTAACTATTTATCAGATAATAAAAAAATTATTACCTTTAAGAAATTATAATTACAGGACAGGATATTTTTGTATATTCTATCTAAAGAGATTAAAATGTTAATTAAAAACTGAGCGGAAGTATACAATATTTTTTGTTTATTATTAATTAAGAAAACTTTAACGATAAAACTTTTAAATCAAATTAAATAATGGTGGAAACATGTTTTAATTTCTGATCTGAACTATTACTTAATAAATAACAACAATAACAGTCAATTTCTATTGACAAAAATCTTGATTATCTATTTAACAGAAATCAACTTGAAATTGAACTATTATAAGTTCCGCAATACTTTTGTATCATCGACATTTCCAATTACTTTATTATAAAAAAAAACAATTTGAAATCTAATTATCATAAATTCCGCATTACTTCTCCTTCATCTATAAGATTTTCGGATGCATTTGATGGCTTTCAGACTCCCATGCATTTCGAAACGAAACCCGAATACACTTGAAATTAATTCGGATTTATATTCTGGTTTAATTGCGTGCGCCCTGTGTAAACTCTGCTGCCTGGACAAATTGATGTTTGTTCGTTTGGCATTTAAATTCCGGGCTCGTCCTCTCTCTCGTCCTGCCTCCAAACTAAAAGCGGCATTATGAAATGAAAATCGATCCTATCTGGTTTGACACTAAAGCAAAACGTTTCAATCGTCCGATAATTAGTCGCATTTCATTTCAATGTAACTGGTAAAATTGTAACACGATATGTACAATCATGTGCATTTTATCAGCCGAGATGAAAAACCATAACGTAATACGAGCTACGAACAAAAGGGACTTTCCATCACGATTTTATGTTTTTCAAATACAAACAGTAATGCGATATTGTGACTCATGGAACTAAATAATTTAAACGTTTTTCTCATAACGCACATGTATTTTTTTGAATTAATTATTAATACCATTTTGTTCTTTGATTAATTCGATGATTGTAGATCGTTTATTATTCAATTCAAAGCTTGAATTCCATCATTTATTATTAATCCAATGAAACACACATGTTAATGGGTAATTTTTATATGAATTTAATATAATTTTCTTACAAACTCCCGGATTTACAAACAAAATTCTGCTGTAACTTGTTACAAGGAGATATATAGTGATAAAAAAAATAACTGTCCAAACAAAAATTGATAATTTCTTTAATAAAATATAATATTTTTGGAAGCTGTACTATCTGTTTTGTTGAATTTATTTCTTTTGTTGTGTTTTATTAAATAATTGTGATCTCTACATTCAAAAGTATTTGTAGGTAAATATTTTGTTTATTTTAATCTATTTTTTCAGTAATACGGAATTTAACATATATAAAAGTAAAAACCATGATAAAGTGTGGTAAAATAAGTATATTTAGATTTTTTTTAATTCCCCGACTTAAGAACAAATTCGACATACGAACAACAGTTTGGAATGGAACTAGTTCGTAAGTCGGTGGATACTTGTACTATTTTACAGAACAATATTTTAATGAAATAACATTAACAGATTATATGGAAAACTCTAAACGCATATCATTGATTTCCAACATTTCCATGAACAATTATGTGGAATGGCATGTCTATAGTCAATTAATGATATGCAAATAAACCTGTATATGCTGTAACCGTTTTATTGCGAATATTTTTCAAACGTCGATACTAAAGAGTTTCAATCATATCTACAGCATATAGGACTTAAAAATGCAAAAAATAAACTTGATTGTATAAAATTATTTTTATTTTACTCAATTATATTTTAGTTTCTTTTGAATTCGCAGCAATCAACGTGATGCAAAGTATTAATGTATAAATTGAGATGTAATATAATAAACTTCAAATTGTATGCCATAGAGATGAAGTTACTTTATGTTTATATGATAAATAGTTTTGGAAATATTCTTAGAAAATAGATACATTTTTTAAGAATTTTTACCTAATTTTATTGTAATATCTAAATAATAGGAAATATATACCAAAAGTCAAAAAAGTATAAACTAAGGCTACCTAAATTTTAATATTATTTAGTTCCTTTCTATGTACAGTGGAACCTCGCTTAACGAGTTTAATCCATTCCAAAATTTCCGGATTTTTACTCGTATAGTGAAACATATTAAAAAAATATACATATGTGTACACAAGTTTTAAAAATGATGTATCCAGGACTTCTCTTCGTTATGCGAAACGTCGCTCGTTAAGCGAGTCAATTTTCAGTATTTCCTTTGTAAAACATATGTGAATGTCGTCAATATTCAGATTTTTAATATTATTTATAGTTTGTGTAAATCAATCAATTAATAAAAAAAATAAATTATTTTAAAAATAAAATGCGATCTATTTCTAAAAAAGAAACAATTCAAGAGTTAACACACAAATGTATCATACTTAACCGTCCTCTACGCCAAATAGACAATTTCAATGTTAATAACAGAATTCAAACACTGCACATTGAATTAACAGAAACTTGTCAAAATTTAGTTTTTTTTTTCAATTTAGGAAAGAATTCTTAAAAGCATCACAGTTTTTTTAAAGCACTTAAATATGTCTGTTGAAATTATTTGTAATAAAAAAAACTGTAAATAAATTCCTTGAAACTTATATAACTTAAATTTGATTAATATTTGCATACCATTAATCAAGTTTAAGACATATGATGGATAGATGGAAGCAATATAGATTATATTTAAATATAATCAATACATATTATAACGTAAGTTACCAAGAAATTAAAAAAAAACTAGCATTTCTCTATTAAGGGAACGTTTTATCATTATCATAAATAATACAGGTAAAGTATTTGAGGACATCATTGGTTATTGAACTGCATTCTAGTAAATTCTACATTTAAGATTAGTAATTTAAAAGTAATTGCAGATCCAGATGACTAAATAAATGAAAAGACATGTTGTAATTGTTGCTTTAAAAGCTGATCGCGATTTCTAAAATTTGCTAGAACATTCTTTCATAAAGTTTGTAAGAAGTTGGAGAACAAAGATGGCAACATATCAGAAGCTTAAAAAATCTAAACACTCTGACAAAACGAGAACCCCTTTTAAAAAAAATAAAAAGACTGTCCCAATAAAGAGTATCTAAACATCCCGGATTGATATGTCATACATTTTTCTGCGACCCCCCCAAATATTTTCGCAACCCCCATTTTGAGAATCACTCCAACAAACCATTTATCATGATCCCAGAAAATCAATGCGGTCACTTGCAAAAGAATTCCTAACTCTCCGAACTTTAATCCCTTGGATTTTTATATGTGTAGCGTTTATGGGGAGAGGTCAATGAACAACCCTATAGCACAAAAAATCCTTGAAAGCTGCTATAGTTAGAGTAATGTCTGCTATGAATCATAATCACTTAATTCAAGCTTGTCGAAGATTTAGATCTCGTATAGAGGTAGTTATTGATGCTAACGGTGGTTTTATTGAATGATTTTATAATGTAATATTGTGTCTTCAATACTTAAAATTTTTCAGAAATAAAGTCTTATGTAGTACAGTGAAACCTCGCTTAACGAGTATAATCCGTTCCAAAATTTCCGGCTTTTTACTCGTATAGTGTAACAATTTTCCCCGTATAAATTAATGCAATAAGGCGTTTCATTTTGGAGTCATTTTTCTTACAATTTATTTTGCTCGTTAAACGAAATGCTCTTTATGCGACTTTCCACTGTATTTGTAAATTTTTTTGGCGAGCATAAATCTGTCCTCAAATACCTTACTCACTCTGTATACTTAAAAATTGGTTCTGTATTTATTTTAAGGTGTATATAATATACTTCTTAATCATTATCAAAATGTTAATTTAGAAAAAATTAAAAATATAACAAAAGGTAGAAATTATTTTTTGTATTATTGGTTAAGACATTTAAATATTCATTTAGTCGGTTAAAGAAATGAAATATTATATTTATTAAATAATTTAACTAACGAGTATAATAATAAATAATATATTTACCGAATGCATTCTTCTTGCAGCGTCGTGAACTGCCAAAATATGTGTAATATTGTACTTATTTAATTGAGCCGAATCCTTGGAGTCCCTATAATTCCCTATGTATAACCCAGGCAGGACCTGAAAACAAGAGAAAATAAATGTATTATCTTTCCAGATCGTATCTTCAATAAACAATTTTTTGCTGGTTCAAAGTACACCAAATATATTATTCACTATCTGATTATTGAATGAGAAATGAAACATTGTTTACTACTATAATCTTTGCGCATCGTAGCATTACTAACTGTTTAGTAAACAATTGTTGGACCATGAGCAACGATCACTTTTAATACAAACTTATCAATGGAATTATTCATTATTATATTGTCTTCAGGTTAAAGTAAGCTATATTTACCAAATAATTTGCACGAATCAATTCGATAGTTATTGTTTATTAATTGATTGTTGGACGATGGACGGTGATCTTTGAATGATCCTTAGTCAATGAAATTATTCATTGATAGATTAACATTGTTTTGGTTTCGGTTGGAATAAAAGGAGAATAATTTGATGGTCTTATTCAGTTCTCTCCGAGAATCGATCTTAGTAACAACAAGAGTTAATTTATATAATCAAGTGGTGAATTAAGTGCAAGAACAATGAATACTATACAAGTTTTAATTTCCTTTGGGCTTCTGATGGTTACTTCTGGGCAAGACTTGAATTGTCCTACATCGATCTGCGGAAAAAGAATTATAATGAACGAGTTGAGTTTAGTGAAAGTGGTCTGCGATCAGAAATATTTGGTCTTTAGAAATGTGAACGATACGGTTTTGCCTGTGGGTACATTCAGGATGTGCCTGAAGACCAATATTCTGGATCTGTCCAATAACAAGCTGGAAGCGATCAGAGCTGGAGCATTCTTGGGTTTAACTTCCTTAACGGAACTCTACTTATCCAATAACAGAATAGAAGAAATCGAACCGGGAACTTTCCACACTCTCTCCAAATTGCAAACGTTCACGATGACCGGAAACAGTATCAAAACTCTACCCGAATACGAATTCACGAGCCCCAAAATCAAATACTTTAACTTGAACAACAACAATTTGGACTACCTGCCCTCTACGGCTTTGGTGAATCTCAAGTATATAACGCTCTTGGATCTATCGATGAACGGTTTGGCAGAAATGGATCCAGCGTCCTTGATCAATGTACAACCTGGAGCTACCATAATCCTCAATAACAACAAGTTATCAAACATTTCCTTCAGAGTGAACACGACCGTTATCAAACCAAAGGTGTTTTCCATCTTGAAACTCTCTGGTAACCTCATCGCGACTCTAATGAGAGCCAGCTTAGGGCAGCTGTACAAGCTGAACTTGATCACGTTGGATTTGAGCTTCAATCAAATCAACTTCATCCAGAGCGGCGTTTTCCGTGACTTTGGTTCAATCGCAAATTTGTTTATAAGTCACAACGAACTGGATCATCTGAACGAGAACGTTTTTCGCGACCTGAAAAAATTGAAACTGCTGGATTTGTCATACAACAGGATCACCACCCAAGTGTTCGATTTGGTGTTGAGCGATACCATCAAATACTTGAATTACAGCAATAACAACATTGAAACTCTTGTGGATTTCAAGTGGGTTTACCACACGGCGAAGAAGGACATCGATTTGGATGTGAGCGCAAATAAACTCGATTACTTGGACGCCAATCGCTTCAGCTCTAAAGTGAGAAGGGTATCGTTAGCTCACAACAACTGGAAATGCAGTGTCCTATACAACATCATCCAGATTCTGGAGAGTCGTCACATCGCCGTCTACGAAGGAGATAACTACATGGTCGATAACGTTAATGGAATCCCTTGCAGATCGAACCACGGAAAGAAGTTTTCTTACACGAATTCAAGACACGAGAAGGCCAGGATGACCGCCCTTAACAACGCATCTGAAATTGATGACTTGATAAGTAACGGTTCAGGCGCAAACAATTTATCAAACATTCTTCTTGTATATATTATTGCCATCATCATTGTATTAGTGTAATTTGCATAAGTTTTGAACTTGAATAATGTATTGTTATATTAAATATTTTTATTTATAAATATAAATTTATTTAACAGATCTTTCCGCCCAATATAAATATATTTTTTAAAGAATTATTGCAATAACTTCATAATTTTATTTCTTTTAAAATTCTTGTAACCTTACATGTATTCATTAATTATTTTTGTTTAATTTTAAATAAATCTTATTTAATTATAAATATCCTTTCTTTATTAATTAAGGCTACTAACCATAAAAAATCCTTTAATTTATCACAGATTTGATATTAATAAAATATTTCAATTTAATTTAATTTAAAATTAAATTATTTGATAATTTGTTCTCATCTGGTTAACCCTTTTATTCCAAGTGATAACTATATCAACGTAGGTTTATTTATATTATATTCAAGGACAAAAGGATTAATTCGATTGTGAAAATTTAAGCTCTCTTGATTGTATTAATCCGGTCCATCATTTAAATATAGTTATCATCACTTAATCCTTATTATTATTGAATTTCATCGGAATTATGAAACATTGATTTTACATATAATTGCACACTCAACTATACTCGTTTCATTAACAACTATTTAATATTTCGTCAAAATATGAATAATGTTATTACATTTTTACACGTAGTTTATAGCTAATATGCTAATAAAATGATCCAAATTTCTATTAAATTTAAATATTTTATTTTTTAAACATATTAAATAAAAATTTCTACAAAAAAAAAGATATTTCTTTTCAATAGATTTAATTTAATCTTTGTTGCGTAATTATATCACATAATTCAAATAGATAGGATTTAAATCAATTTTAAAAAATAATCTTCTAGAAAATTAATTTCATCTGTATGATATGAACATGGTTTGGGTCTAGAAAATAATAGAAAGCGAAGTTGCGAAATGTGGTTAACCCGGCGCATCCACCGAATAACGCAGCGTAACATTTTCAAACTTTACTCGCTTCTAAATGGACCTGCTAAAAACTAATTTCACATGAATATTAAACAACAGAAACACTCATTATTTGAACTAATTTGACCTTGTGACTTGTGGTCCAGTGGTAATACCTTATATAAAGCGCTTCCACTAACATCTCGGACTATTTGAAACAATACTAATCAATGAACTAAATACAAATAAAAATAAACCGCATAAAAAGAGACTTGGCAAAAACTGATATTTAAATTTTCAAAATTAAAATTTAGTTTCTTTTAAAAATTTCAAACCGTGCTACAATGAATCCGAGATTGATTGATGCAGCACTGTGCGAGGTATATATATACACATTTTATTTTTGTGTTACAGTAATAAATTGTAATAATGTAATTATTATAATACAATTAAAAATACCGTATTTCTGACCGAAATTGTATTTGATCGATGGCGCACTATGCGAGGTATTGATATAAAAATAAAATTTGTTTTATAGTAATAAATTGTAATAAATGTAATATTATAATAAATTTAAAAAACACAGTCTTTCTGACCAAAATTTTCATATATTACTCACATATATTTTTTTAATAAAACTAAATTACTTAAATTTACTATTAGCATTGATTAAAAGGTAGTAATTACATTATAGAAGTGTAACATCAATATTTACCAAACAGTTGGTTTAGTTTCAAAAACAGAGTTTGGTTTAATTTGCTGCGGGAGATAGAGTTACTCGCTCATTAAGCATTTATTTCGCATCAACGACGTGTGTTAGGTTTAATGTCAAACATGGTCAATTAACAGAGGCACTTCCACGACTCTTTAAAAATGCACGCTCCAACATCTCGTTTTAACTACATCGCGTTGTAGGAAATCTCCTGAAATTTACACTTTATGCATGGAATAAATAATACAATAATCCAGTTTCATCCGTTGCTATAAAATCTCTTGCAAATTATTTTGATAACAAAATTTTGCTTCCTACAAAGTTGTAATGTAATTAGGATTAATTACATCTATTTACTTAGTTCGTATTTTTTATTAATTAATAGTCAATATATACATGATTTATTTAGTGAGTAAAAAATATTACGTGTCATTATGAAATTGCCTTTTATTTATTTTTAACATAGTGACGTGACTTGCTTTATTATTTTTAGGTTAAGTTGTTTTGGCTTTTGGTTTAGCTAAGGTTAACATCCATAAGTTAAGTATAGTGGAACCTCGCTTAACGAGTTTAATCCGTTCCAAAATTGAAGGATTTTTCTTATATAGTAAAATACTCGTATAGTGAAACATATTCAAAAATACACATAATATGTGTACACAAGTTTTAAAAATGATGTAGAAGGCGCTCAATCCGGGACTTCTCTTCTCATCGTCACTCGTTATGCTAAACGTCGCTCGTTAAGCGAGTCATTTTTTTTTACAATTCATTTTGCTCGTTAAGCAAAATGCTCATTATGAGAGGTACTCGTTAAGCGAGGTTCCACTGTATTTACTTCTATTTATTTAGTTACTATTTTATATAGTCTAAATCAGTAATTATCAATCAGGTCGCAGAGAAATTGATAAATCCAGAATGTTTTCTACAAATATTTGTATTTACTTTACAAACAGAAATAACGATTAAAGTAATTATTAAAAAAAAAATAAACATAGTGACCCAATAAATAGCTGCCATTAGTATTGATTAGTACTAGTTTTCCCTCACTTGTATGTATTGTGTTTGATGTGACTTGTTAGTCTAGCAATTAATTTCTATTTGCAATTCTATTTACCCCAAAATCAAAAAGTGTTCTCCCAAAACCAATCTAAATAAAGCAATACCTCGTATAGTACGGCTTCGATTATAAGGATTCACAATAGTCCAGTTTGATTTTGTTAATTTGAGCAAAATCAAAATAAATTCTAAAAAAAATAGTACACAAACACAATAGTTCAAGTCTCTTTTTGTGCGGTTTATTTTTGTATGTGTTTAGTTCATCGATTAGTCCGGTTTAAAACAGTACGAGATATTGGCAAGGTATTGCCAGCACTTATAATTTATAAAAATTGTTTAACTTTTATTAGTTAATAAATTTTAATTATTTAGTATATTTCATAAAAAAAAATATTTTTTGATGTAAAAAATTGTATATTGTCGCATGCTACTTTAATAATTAAAAAATAACCAAATATTTCTCCACCAAAATCAGAATAAAAAGTATTTTCTGGACTAAATTTCATATATAATTTTTAATCTTTCTTTTTACATTTAACAATTTTTCAATATTTTGTAATTCTAAACCTATAAGAAGAAAAAAAAATTAAATTGTTATATATTGAGTAATATATATGATAGATTGCAATCGATTTGGATGCACTTCCGAAGTGTCTTCTCGATTATGATCCACTCTATCGGAAGCAAAATAGATCTGCAGACTGACATCAAACATGTTATATATATTTTCATAGTTACTCGAGCGTAATTTGACATTCCATTCGAAGATGTATTACCGACAATAAACAGACTAGATTCCATCGAAGGAATAAGAAATCAATCAGCAAATATCCTTTATTTGAGATATTTTATAAGAAAAAGAAATAATCTCGATTCTTAAATAAGAAATAGACTTTTTATATAAACAGAATTGAATGAGTTCAAGAAATGCGTATACCGATTTTTTTTTATCAGATATTTTCATTCAGTACAATTATTTTTCTTTCCGTGTTGTTTTATTGATTTTTAATTAAATTTAAACATTGCATGTAATAAATTATGGATATTTTATAAGTATAAATAATTAATTTTCTTAAGAATTTTTTTAAAATTATAATATGTATTATTTATTTGTTTTCTTTAATAGCTAAAATTGATAATTCATTTGGAATAAATTTATTC